GAGGTTGCGGCAACTTTCTAGGAGGTCAAATCTCCACCACTTTGGGCAACCCTGACATAGACCCTACAGGCTTCAGCAGAGCCCACTAACCTAGATAACTACAGGTTCTCTCTCTCCTGAATGCCTGTGGTCAAAATGCTCCTCTGGCCTTACCAGTCCTGTAGTCATCTGAAGGCCAAGTGCCCAGAGTGCTCCCACCTGTCCAAAGCCCACACAAACACCTCTTATGGCATTGCAGCACATATTCATGTCAGCAAACAGCAATGAACCTTGACAATGCTAATGTGCTGTAGCTTAGTGGGTTCATTTTGGGAGTGTGTTATTTTTGCAGAACCTCTTGCCTCTTGTGAAATTGTCCTGCACTCATTTGAACATGCACATTAAGACCTTGTGTCCACCTGAGTGAGAAGAACCCATCTGCGGCACTCAAGCCAAACCTCCATCTGTGGCAAACAGGGCAGGCAGCTGGTATTGGATGGGCTGCTCATGCTCTGTGCTTTGCTGTCCTCACTGCTCTTTCCCTCCTGCTCTACAGTTAACATTCTTGCACCCCCCCATCCAGGATGATATGAAGCTTTAACCTTTCAGTGATGACAGCAGCTGCAGTAGACACTGGGAAGACACTGCTGAATAACATACTACAATTGTATCACTTGGCTTCGTCTTGCTGACATTGTGGACACTGCAGTGACGTATTTACTGCTTCAAAAGGTCATTTAGTAGGTTTTAGTTCTCTGTGTAAAAGGCAGTGGTTTTACCATTGGGAAAATGCAGGGAATGGGCGTGACAAGTTCTGGGCTATAAAGAGATTACAGGAAAAAAATGTTAAATTCTAATGCTCTAGACTTGAGGTGGGTTTACTTACTTTCTCTGTTAACGTAATAAAGACAGTACAAGATGAAAACAAGTTAGTCTCAGCTGACAAATCCACACACCACCAGCTTTACATTAACACCATTTGCAAGTGAACAGAGATTTGGGTGGTTCGGTATGTCAACTTTACATTTGGCTTGTTAAATTTGCAAATTTTTACATTATTTTTGTAAAAAATATATTTTTTTTAAATAATAAATTTTTTCCATATTATCCTGTCAAACTAGTTCATGTTAGCAACTACTGTTAAACAGCCACTGACTCACATTTTAGCAAACATGGGAAGAGAGGTGTCTTTAGTTATGGTGTCTTTGTGCTAATGAAACAGTGCTCCACTAGTGAGTAGAAGTACACTATATGGAAATTATTAAGGTAGATCTGTAACATATATAAAGGAATCTAAGCCAACCCTCCACAGTTGCTTGTGGTCAATCTGCTTCAGCTTACCCCACATGTATTTGAAGGATTTTGGGCCAGTGCACTGGGACTGCCACCACAAAAGCTCATTCTTTGGTTTGTGAACCTTTGTGAGCGGATATAGAATTGTGCTTTGGAACATTTCTAACCACAACCTATATATCTCACGACCAAAATTTCCAAGGTCTTTGGAACAAAAACCCAACAAAATCATAGATCCACCACCATATTTCCATTGTTTTCTGAATGATGGTTGTTTTCCGAAAGCCAATCATTTATGCCAAATTCATCACAGATATTTATTGCCAAAAAGCTCATTTTTGACTCATCATACCATAAAACCCAGTTTTGTTTAGTATTTGTGTTAGTGGTTTATATATATAACAAGTTTTCCTAAATGCTCAGGTATAGTCACAGAAACGTTTAATACCTTTCGTGATTTTTTAAAATAAATAATTTCGCCTTGCTAAAAAAGTTTTTCCATAGCCTGTTTTGCTCAAATTTTGATCTTCTCAAGGATGCCAACAATTCTAGAGGGCACTTTATATATAAGTATGTTTGTTAAAGGCAAAATACGCACCCTGGTGTCTGCACATTTAAGATACCAAGTTTAACATTTAGGACATTATGTTTGTAAGGCAGTTAGCTCTGGGGATTTTTTAATTGCTTCCACAAGAGGTAAATATTTGCTTTTGAGCACTGAAGCTGAGGCTTTGGCATAATTTTGAGCAGCACAACACTGAGGCAATCACATGAACAACCATGAATTCAAATAACTATGTGATTTACTTCTGTCAAATATGGAAATTTGAATTCCTGGGGGGCACTGGATAACTTTGCGTGGTTTAGATAGAAAAAAATACCTCAATGAATTATTCATTAATATGCCATATTATTATTCAGAGGCAAAAATACAAAATTCTTTATTCATCTGAAGAGCATGACATACAAAATAAAGTGCATTAAGTACTGAGTGGTCTGTGCTTCATTAAATGTTTGCCTTGTTAATCTTAAGTCTGGCCAGATCAGTTTTACAATTAACACATTAGCCTCGCAGGGTGCCGTCTATTGTAACTTACAGTACAGGATCCTGTTTCATGCTGTCCTACCACAATACGTCAGACTGGTATCCACTTTCAGCTGAAGTTACAAGCTGTTTTAGTGTACATTAGAGGCATCTCAAGCACAATATGATATTCACTCATGTGCATCTCTACAATCATCTATTCATTGAGAATCATGGCATTTTAAATAAAAAAAAAAACAGAAAACAGGCTGACTACTGTAGACTACTGTAAACATAAATTGACTTCCCTCTTGTAGCTGTCAGTTATTGCATGCACATGTACAGTATGATCTAAAGCAGCAGTGTTGGAAGTTCTCTCCCTTTTTATTCAAGTTCATTGCATTTGCTCCTCAGAGAGATACAGTACTGAAGCTTGAAGTGCTCTCTTTCAATTTAGGTCAATTCACTGACCTACTTTGGACCCAACGACGGTAGTTACACATGGCAGTGCTAACAAGACCTCACTCATTTGGAGCTTCGCAAGTGTTTGTGTCATACTGTGCAGACGCCAACACATATCCATGTGCAAATTAGTTCAAATTCACAGATTTATGGCTATCGCTAGAAACAGTGTGTTGAGGGCTGAGAGCTGAAGCTGCTTGATGGTGGAGGGGATATAAGTAATCTGACCATGGTAATTTACAGACAGGCAATACTTCAATAATGATGGTGCACAAGGAATAGCTTTGAGAACAAAAACCTGAAAGCTGAGATCAAACTGCACCAAGCTTTTCTCACAGAGCTGTCTGCAATTTTCTCAGTTTAATCTTCACCTTGCTCCACAGGCAGCCATATTTATCTGAGAGCTCTGGCTGCTTTCCATTGACAGACACCCTGCCAGAAATCCTGACAGCAAAACGACTTTGCGGCAGCAGAGAGAAACTCTACCTCTACAACAAATAATACAACAAATCAGTCATTTCAGAAAAGGAGGAAGACTTTGTTCTGGAGAACATAACAAACATTTATTTCAACACCGAAACACCACACCGTTTTTCTCCACGGACCCAATTCGTATGTAGACCTGGCACAAGTGATGCAGAGGAAGAGCCGCAAGCTTTAACCTTGGGCCAGATCGGTGTAATGGGCACGGCTGGATTCATTCCCATACACAGCTATCCTAACAACACTTTCCTGATGAGAGGCAAACACAGTATTTCAGGCCAGTGCCCAACAACTGTCTCAGAACACAGCATGCTCGATGCATTCCTTAAAACAGGTGTACACAATTTAAATGCCTATTTGCCATGTTGAGGTTGCTACTCTGATGAACAAAGATCTACATTAAAGTAACACATCAACAAAGATTGTCAACCAATAATTCATGTCCAGTATTAACAGCGACACATCCTGCAGTTATGTTAACATATCGTTTACAAAAGGAGAACAAAATAAATGTGCTGATTATCAAATCACCATCATGCAGATGCTCTAGCTGTGCTGACACAGTATATGTGGTATAGAAGAATACAGGCTGATATAGAAATACTATAGTAAACCACAGACTACTCTCTTTAAAATACCCTTTGGCACATTTATATACACTTTATAAAAAGTCATACAGCAAAATCAGTGTCAAAGAAAAATTATTCATTTTCGTGTCTATTAAAATAAAGATTAGATTCTATTTCATTAACAGTTTATATGACACCACATTTGGTAAATCTAAAAATAGGTAACGTTTATTTTTTCTCTATTTCTCATGTGTAAATTCTAAGTAAACATACACACACTTGGGATGAACGAAGACCTACAGTGCAGTTCAAGGATCAACAATAGACACATACTGAATGGTTAACTGGGCCCACAAGAACTAGGATGACAGTGGCATAAAGGAAATATCTATGGTGTACACTGGAAGTTTAAGAAATGAAGAGCGGAGGGAGGTGGTGTACACTTTCTCCCCCATTACTCTGCCTCACTTTGTCCGCTCAAGTGCAAAATGTACAAGGAGTGAACAGAGCAGCTGGAGGCTCGGGCTGCAACTCAGCTTACAGTAGCAGCAGACTGTGTCACTGAGCGCCCTGCTCTATCATACATACTAAAGGAAGACAGTGACCCATTTACACCTTCATTTACCACAGAACATAACAAACTTAATGCATGCTGCCTCTTTCACCTGAGCAAGAGACAGGGACTATTTACTAAATCATTCAGTACAGCAGAATGAAGCATTTCTGTGCTGCTGAGAGGAAGAGACACAAATCAAGTAAGTTAATTATGAAGTCCTGATGAGATAGCACAGTTTGAAAAAAGAGCAAATCCTTTGTATTGCAAGTAGGAGGATATAGTGCATGGTACTTTAAGACTATATCATTAGCTACAGAGAATGTTTTAAGCACTTATGGTCATCAAAAGCTTCAACAACGCAAGTTTCTGAAGAGTGCACGGCTAAGAATACAACGTCATTTTCCTTGGTTTTAAAGATCCAGCTTGGATAGATTTTCTTTCATACTAACTTACAGCTTTTTACATTTTTTAGATAGGGCAGCACCAATTTAATGGTATAGTTATTTTACAAAAAATAAGGGCTACTATAATCATTGAAAAATTACCTTTAGAAATGTGAAACATGAGATGCTTTCATTGTTTCAATTAAGACTTGGCACTAGGTCAACTTCACAGTGTGTCACTTTCAGGGCTGGGTATCGAAATTCAATACTTTTGTGGTACTGCCCACCAAGTATCAAAAAATATCATGTCGTTCGATACTAAATTTCAATACCTAAATATACCAAAATCTAGACTTGTGATTCTCTGCCAACATTCTGTAAGCATGTTATAAATGTCAGCACAACTTTATTAGTCTGTTATCCGTTGTGGTCAGTAAATCAGTATCGAAGCCAAGTATTGGTATCAAAAAATGTAAAAAGATACCCAGCCCTAGTCACATAGAACAATTTTTTGATATGCTACAATATATTTCCTCACTGTTGCAAGCATCAATAGCTTCTAAACAGTTCTACATTTGTGCTTTTGTGTCACTGTGGCTACTTCATAAACCAGTGAAACACCTCATGCATGGTAAGAAACAGTGAGAGTCATCAAAATAATGTAGGTTATCCAGAGTGCAAAGTAGAACAACAAAACAAACATGTCTGGATAAATACAGTGAATCCCACAGTGTGATGCACATGAGGTTTGACATCTGATCAAACCTCATTTTTTTCTTTTCATACTAAACAGTGAAAATGCCTTGACGGCTGGCTACTCTTTAAAAGCTGGGGTGCTGGAGGTGCCTTTGTAGAAAATGTTTCTAGTGTTGTCAGGGCTGTTCCCTCTTTCAGGGATCAGGATCATATTACTTTTGCTTTTCCTGCTCAGGGTTGAGTCCCGGCTCTCTGGGCCACTATCGGTGCTCTCCATGGGGGTGACCCGGATAGTGGAGATGGCCTGATGAGGATGCTGGTCCCCCACTGCGTTGGCTGCAGAGGAAACAGTTGAGACGGTAGGGATGGTTGGCACGGTGACAGGGATTGGGGCACTGGAATTGCTTCTTTTTCTGTCTGTGGAGCCGTAGCCATCCCTAAAAGACTCTGAACTTTCAGAGTCCCGGTTTAGATCATTTAGCTCAAAGGACTGCCTGAAGCTGGTCTGAGACTTCCAGGTCCAGGAGCCGCTGCCATCAGTGGAATGGGCATGCACCAGGGGGCGTCCGTTCTCTGGATGAGCTTCTACTCTCACTATAGCCCCTGTAGAGCCTTGGCTGGTGGCCCCTGAGCCTGTCTCCTCCGTCAGGCTCTTGTATCGGTGTAGAGGCGCAGTGGAGCTGGTGTGGCTGCTGCTCTCAGAGCTGGGAGAGCCTGTGGGCAGCAGGCCCTGCTGCTTGGACATGGCGATGACTTGCATGATTCGTGGCTGTCCATTGACATTAGTCCTTACAGGTGCCGCCCCACTCTTCTCCATGCTCTTTAGCCACTTGTCCCGTACATTACCGCCAGGTGAGGTGCCTATACATTCCTGGGTCTCCTCTGGGATGTGCACCAGCTGAGAAGACCCTGGCCTGGACTGGAGGGATATTCTAGCACCTCCAGCAATGCCGCTGGGATTGTTGGGTAATGTAGTACTTCCAGTGGCCAGTTTGAGGCATGGAGCTCCAGGACCCTGGTGCTCCCCGTTGACGCCAACAGCAGACGGCTCTGAGCTCGAGCGAGTCTCCATGCTGCTGGGGGGTGACTGGCCTGGCCCATTCTCCATGGCCTGCAGGGAGAGCTTTCGGTTCTCGTTCTTACTTTTCCACTGCGACAGCAGCTGTTTGGACCGGCTGGAGTCCATGGAAGAATGGATGGTGGCTGTGCGCCGGGCATCATCCATGGCTGGTGAGTGAATCCTGGGCAGAGTGTTGCTGAAGGTCACCATGCTCTCCTTGGCTGCAGGGCTGCAGGGGGTGATGACCTCCACATCTGCGCTGGATCTTTTCAGGTTGGTGAGGGAGTTAGTCTGCCGGGCTTGCAGATTGCGGTGCAGGATTCCCTCTGAGTGGGAGGAGGAGAGGCCACCACTACTGCTGCAACTTTTAGCAGGCAGGTGGTGGCCAACCCTCTGACCCAGATCAGTCATGGATCGGATAGGATCCCTCACCTGGGGTTCACTGCTGTGCTTCTCCTCACTGGGCTGGAAATTCCCCACAGCGTACAAACCCTGCAATGGTCAGGGAGGCGAAAAAATTAGTCAGATGAAAATGCCAGCTGCCCTTTACGTTGTGTGAGAACATTTCTTGATGAATGAACAACCGACATGGTCCTGAAATGGTCTATTATTTCACATTAAACATTAAGAATATTTTCCCCTTCTACTGTAAATTTGCAATTTTTTGAAAGCCAAGGTTTTCTTCTGACAACAACGAAATGCAAAGCCACAAAGAAATTTATGTCTCTCACTTAATTCTACACATAACTCACCAAATAAACAGCAATGCCCCCTCCAAGGAGGAATCCTAGGTAGACATCGATGGCATGGTTCTTGTACTGGATTATACGTGTCAGGCCACACATGATAGCACTGATGATGAAGGAGAAAACTAGCAAGGGCTTCAGCAGCTTAGACGAGTCTGTCAGAGTGCTGTTGAAATACATCTATGTGGGAACAAATACACTTTCAACAAAGTTTTAACCCAGTCTTGCACTCATGCTATCAGCGGTGATATGCGATAGAACAACCACTTTTGAAATATGTTTCTTAAATAAAACAATGGTAAATTCTTATTTTGTGGCTTAATCTTAACTATTAAAATAGAAATGTAACATTTAAAACCATCTTGACATTTATATTGGTATAGAACCTTTTTATTATGCCTTTAAAATTTATTAAGCCTTTAAAAAGTTCTTCACACTCACAAATACTGTTTTCAACATGGTTATTTAGGGAACCAAAAGTGGTTATTTTGTGGTATCACTTAAAAAACATTCTTTTTTGAAGACTGTATGTCTGAGAAACAAGCAATTGTCAAAAAGTCAACTGCAATTATTTATATAGCAATTAAACATCCGTTGAAATGTCATGATTCTGACACACCTAGATGATGAACTAAGACCAAACAGCTCAGTTCATTATTATTTAACAATAAACAAAATTTGTGATAAGCCAAAACAACAGACTAATGGATAATCTTTAGATATCTGTATGACTAATGAAATGGAACAGTAACATCTGTTTAATCTAATTTGATGACAGTGTTTGACACTCATTGTTGTAAGTAGAACTCAGCCTTATGCAGTAATTGGGACTGTTCCAAGATGCATGAGTCAGTGTCCTACTCACAGAGTCACTTCATTAAAACTGCATATTTATCCTCAGCATGAGCACATACACATACACACACCTGCTACTCCAGGATGCCACTGATTGGACAAGCTACTTTACTGTACAGGACATCAAGAAAGGGATTCTTCATATTTTTGTAAATGTCATTTTTTGTAAATTACTTCTTTCTCAAGAAACGTTATTGAAGTTTATTAGCACCTATCGAAAGTTATAGCTATTATAAAACAATGAGGCTGGTATTTACACGTTAAAGCTACATGCATGGCTTGAGTGCAGCAGACTAAACTTGATATAAAAAGCTTTTGTGTGAGGAGGCTGAATTTAGGAATTAGTGGGTAGTGCAGAGCAGACACTGTACACTGTGTGGGTGAGACACACACTACTTACTGAGATGTAGACGGCGGCAAAAGATGCTAATGTGGCATGTTGAGAAGGAAAGGATTTTCTGAAAAATGAGTAAAACTCAAATCAGAATGGACATTATTATACTTTTTATGAACAAGAAAAAAAACCATCACTGAGACAGTCAAGGTACCAGTAAAACCAGTTCTTTAAGCCCATGATCAAAGAACAAGTTCTCTATTCAACATAACATCTCAAATGACCTAATGGTGATAATCCACTGTATAAGCTACTATAAGCAACTTTGTGTAATTACCAGCCAACAAAAAATTGACTTTGTTTTTGGTTATTTTATGGAAAATTGTATATACGGCTTCTGTTGTTCACCATGTGGCAAAAATATATTCCAGCATAGACAATATGGACTATTTCAGCAGCTGTTGTGTGATCCGATTGAGATGTGACAGTAAAAAGGGGGCACCGCACATGCCTACAGCTACTGCCATTTCGGGTGTTTCCCATGCCAGCCTGAATTTAATGGTCTGTTTCCTCGATCTGGTTGGAGGATAAATAAAGCTGCTCAGGCTGTTCATTATGTGCTTCATGAGTGAGACACCAGAGCAGTCTCACTTATAGATAGAGCAGATACAACTCTCACAAAAGCACTCACTCTGCCTGCAAGCGCCCTGCAAAAAGATGTCCTGAATTTTGGCATTTCTGCTGCCTAAACCTGCAGCTTAAGGAGGGAGAAATAATGTATTTTTCAGACTCTCTGTACTGAGGGATGCAAAGGGACGCCAACAGGCTTACTGTGCAATATTATCCACTCAATCATCTTTATAAAAGGTCTGTTCAGCTGAAGTGTTTCATTCAGAAGCTTTGCTAGTTTTGTCAGTGTGTAGTATCTGCAGTGAGTTCTTCACTTTAACTGTAGATACATTTTCCACTGTTTCATTATTTACTGAATCCACACAGCAGCTGGAAGACGCACAGTGCCGTCACTTCCACAGAAACTGGCCTCATTGAAGGAAACATCAAAAGCCTGTCTCTTAATCTACAACTGCTATTCTTAGAATCCAGAATAGCCCGACTCGTGTCTGTGCAGACTCTTGAAATTCCTAGCTCGCTGGTATAAATGCAACATTGGAAATCTTGTGTTCAAACATCCAGTCTGGGGAAAGCTCCAGCACACTTTACTCTGTCAGCTGAGGTAATATTTAGATCATTTTCATGCCAGATTCTGTTTGCTTTCCAAACTTTGGTCTGTCATTCTGAGACACTGTACTTTGCCTCAGTTTCCAAGTACTCTGCCTAGCATCAAAGAAGGCTGCAAATTTTCCACATGAAAAAAACTGGCACAAGTGATATCTGCTAAGAAGCACATTACTGAGTCATTATATTAGTATTACCAGAGTAGGCTCTGTAATGTTATTAGTTAGGGATTTGACCAGATGATTCGTACAGGATAAAGTAGCCTGAACTCAAATGCCTTAGCCTAGATGTACATTTCAGTGTTATTCATCAGGTGTAATACTCAACAATAGCAAGAACAACATGATTGTAAAAAAAGATGATTCAGTGTTTGAACTTATAAAAGTAAGTAAAACCTGGTTGCCTAAAAATGTTGAGGTTACTACATTTCAAACAGTACGTTAAAGGGCTCATATGGTACATTTTTCTTGTATGTTAGCAGGCTGAAGACCACAAAGTAGCACTATTAACACTCCAGTAGCCTTGGTGCTTAATAGGAGCAGTGTTTCTCAACAATGACATGGTGGGATCTTTTTTTGTATTTAATCTTGTGCCAATCTTACCTGCTGGCGTTGATGATGGCAGTGTCAGCACCAGAGCAGATATCCTCCAGGATGAAGGAGCTCTCATCACAGGAGCTGTTCAGGTGGGTGTAGTTAGGTTTGCAGACAGTGAGGAAGTAGGGTGCTGGATAACCCGTCGACAGTTGGATGATGTTAGTTATCAGAGCGGTGGCACAGAGGCCAAACACATGAACCCCTACGAAAACACAGGAAAAAATTTCAATGAACATCACGGGTGATGTTACAGTAAAAATGAATGACAGGTGTCATGGTGCGCTCACTATATCCAGCTAAAAGGAATCATAACTATGGAACTGAGCCACAGTAGAGTTGAAGTAACCTACCCACAAACCTGACGGCACGGCGGACGTAAGAGTTGAAGTTGCAACCGGCTGCATTGATGTCGGCCTCAGCTCCAGGGCCGCTCTGAGTTCTGGACAGACAGCAGAACAGAATGCCTTCTCCGATCATTATCTGCAGACAGAGGAGACTCTGAGTCAGAGGTGCAGAAAGCCAGCAGAGAGCAGAGACAGAGATCAAACACCCCTCTGTGGATATCTCCGCTTAGCTTCTCTCACTTTCTGTTCTCTTGCATTCCTGCTGAGGAGATTCTCTTTATTCCACACTTGATTCAGTGCAGGTACTAAAGACAAGCCTAAATCTGCAATACACAAGTTTTGTATGGACATTTAATAGTTCATAAAATTTAACAAACATAGCCATAGCTTGATTGCACTGTACTTTTTCTGAACCATGTTTACTTATTTGTCCCATTTCCTCCTAATTTAGTTAGAGCCTATCAATAACACTAGTAAGTGAGGACTTCACATGCTTCCTCTAATGAATATGAAATGTGTCACTGCTTTAACTTCCCACCATGAAGAATCATGAAGCATCTCAATATGTTTTAAAGAGAACTGATCTATATATATATATGTATACACAAACACGCACACACATCATCTAAACCCCTTATCCTTCTGGGTCGCGGTGGGGTGCTGGAGCCTATCCCAGCTGTCATCGGGCGGAAGGCAGGAGACACCCTGGACAGGTCGCCAGTCTATCGCAGGGCATATATATATATATATATATATATATATATATATATATACACACACACATATATATGTGTATATATATTATATTATATATATATATATTATATATATATATATATATATACACACATATATAGTATATATATATATATATATATATTATATATATATATATATTTATATATATGCTCTCTGTTGGCTCGTAAAATGTTTAGACAGAGTGAAAATAATTAGCATGAGAATGAGGCCAACTATGTGATTAAAGGGAATTTCATAAATTTTGTAAAATTTGTGCAAAAATTTGGAATAATTAAAGCATTAAGTCATAAACAAAGTTACTTAGAATGGATAGATGTGAAACAGAGAAACTGTTGATTCCCCACTAAACATCCCTCACATTTTGCATGACTCATCTTTTAATCAGAACTTTCTTTCTGCAAATGTGCAAAGGGTATGAGTATTACCTTCAATCATTGCACACTTACATATTAATGCCCTGTCACCGTGTGTCAGAGACACATCATCCCTCCTACTGCCCCTCTCCTTCCTGACTATTCTGCTCTAGCATCCCGCAGGTATGGAAGTGGAAAACTACACAGTGAATCTAGTGGCATTTTGGTGGAGTCCTGGAGAGCAAATTAGCAAATCTCTGCACTCTTGGACAGAAAAAGTTACGCTTAGAAACATGACACCAAACTGCTTGACTAGTGCATGACCAGTATCAAAAATAATATTGATATCAATTTTTTAAGAGACAAAAATTCTGGTAACTGATTTAGTAACATTTAACATGGTCAAAATGTAAAAACGAATACTCTCACTGAGCACTTTATTAGGCACCTACCTTGTATCTACACTAATTGTCCAGTTTCAATTGTTCTTTACTCCATTCATCAATGGTCAGGATGCCCACAGGACCACCAGAGTGCAGGTATTATTTGGGTGGTGGATCATTCTCAGTATGGCAGTGACACTGCTGTGGTGGTGTCATGTTAATGTGTGCTGTGCTGGTATGAGTAGATCAGATTCAGCAGTGCTGCTGAAGTTCACTGTCCACTCTATTAGACGCACCTACCTTGTTGGACCACCTTGTAGATGTAAAGTCAGAGACAGTAGCTCATCTGTTGCTGCACAGTTTGTATTGGTCATTCTCTAGTCCTTCATCAGTGGTCACAGGATGCTGCCCACAGGACGCTGTTGCCTGGATATTTTTAGTTGGTGGACTATTCTCAGTCCAGCAGTGACAGTGAAGTGTTCAAAAACTCCAGCAGCACTGCTGTGTCTGATCCATTTATACCACCGCAACACACACTAACACACATCACACATCAGTGTTACTGCAGTGCTGAGAATGACTCACCACACACATAATACCTGCTCTGTGGTGGTCCTGTTGGGGTCCTCGTCCCTGATGAACAGGGTAAAGGTTGGATAACTTAACCTTAAAACTTAAAATTAACATGTAAAAACAAAGATGAACTGTCAAACGGGAGCAAATATAAAGTCCTAAAAATGATACAAAAAAAACCCTACAGTATCAACAAAGAAAGTCCACTGAGTCCACAGAGTCCACTGTCCTGTGTGTAGGGCAATTGTGTTATCCACTATGCTACTCAGTCACCATGAATAACTGAGTTATAACATTTCAAGAAATGAAAACCAAAAAGCTTTGCATTAATGCTAGTTTTTTGCAGTACTAAAACTACTTGTTTTCAGGAGTTATTAGCACCCCTTAATGCTTAAAATTATGCTTGGTTGTTGTTCAAAACAGCCTCATATTTCTAAACGTGGTTTTTAGGAGTGGCCAACATAACAAAATTTTATTGTCGTCATGAGAAATTGTGTCACACTGCCAACTAATCGAGCCCTATTATTGACTCCTGAAGACACTAGCCATTAGTCAAATTGTTTAGGTCAGCGCTTACAGTCTGGCACTAGTTATGCTGAATGTTCTCTCTGTAGACCATATAGACACGGCAGCTGGCACTTCTACGTTCATATAGACTAGACTGCCATGGTCGCCAAGTGAGAAGTTTAAATCCCGGCAGGACTGTGTGTTTGATGTGAGCGTCGCTCCGCACGCTGGCCTGGCAGGTGAAGTCCTAAGGATATAGACTGAACGTTGGCTTGATGACGTGCCATGCTGTGAGCTGAATGTGAGCCCAGAGAGCATGCAGATCACAGCATACAGCTCCATCTGACTGACTCCAGCCCTCCAATTACAGCTACACAGACTCTCCTCTACACCGTGACAATTGGCAAAGCCACAGGAGTCCCCAGAGCCTGCAGTCACTTCCTCCCTGACACTAAATCTGGCCTGTTAGGTAAACAGATTTTAGAAAAAAATGAGCTGAGGAAAAAGAGAGTCTGTCTTTGTTTATGATTTATAACCAAAAGCTTACCATTTACACAGGTGTACATGTAACATACAGATTTGTTACGATATACAGTTAAATATTTTCTAGTCAAGATATCATAATATGAACATATTACACTCTACACACTTAAAAATGGTGGTTCTTCAAGCGTCTTTAATAAAGAAAATGATATATAGAACCAAGAACACTCAAAGAACCCTGGAGGATGTGCTGCAGATGGTTCTTTACAGAACCTTTTTGAAAAGGGTTCTCTACAGCACCAAAAAGGGTTCTTCTATTGTAACAAGCCTGACACTGTAAGAATAGAAGAACACTTTTTGGTGCTATATAGAACCCTTGTCAGAAAGGTCCTAAATAGAACCTTCTACAGCACATTCTCCATCAATCTGAAGAAACTTTTCATGATGCAAAGAACCCTTTAATAATGGAAAGGGTTCTTTGAATGTTCATGATTCTACATAGAACCATTTTCTTTACTAAAGAACCCTTGAAGAACCATTATTTTTAAGTGTGTATGCTATTGTGTCCAAACCAAATTAGTGAATTAGATGAAATAGCAACTGTGGTACACTTATCTCCCTACAAGCCTAATATGTAGCCAGTACCATAGTGCATTACCCCTTTTTTCTTTACCAGTACTGAATCTGAAATCTTGAGTATCAATTCACTAACCCCATATACCTTAAAAAACTATTATTTAAAAAAATCTGCTTAAACTGAGCTGTTTATAATCAAATGACTTCACTTAAGATGACCATCTTAAAGGATCATACTCAAACTGCTCAAATAAACTTCCCTACAGAAAAGAAATACAAGATGTTTATATAACCCGAAAACATGATGTTTACAAGACCAAGTGTACAGACTAGATTTGTTACACAATCAGATGGATTTTTTTTTTCCTTTGATAGCCCATACACCATTTTCTGCTGGTTATGGGATTGGTGCCATCTCTAACAATATAGCTAATAGTTGTACTGTAAACTATATAATTTGTGAGAATCATGATCATGAGATCAGTTTCATTGATACTGCTTTAAAATAAGTGAAAATGTTTATATTTTAAAAGAATTAGTTATTCTCTGGTTCCAAATTACACAGGAAACAAAACTGGCAAAGTCAAAAAAACAAATGAATCAAAGGTTGCACATTTTGCAGCATATGACAACAACAGATGGAGATGGTTTTACAAATCTGTATTTCAGAATTACATGAAAAAATAACAGCCTACTGCAATCTTCTTAGGGCAGTCAGCTGTTGAGATTTGTGGCAATGCTCTTCATCACATTCACTGCTGGGTTAAACAGAGAAGAACACTACACCCAACAAATTAACAGTGGAGTCTTTTTATAGTTCAAACTTCAAACCCATTTAGCCATCCTGTCATTTCCCTATGAACAGACTAATATGCCTCGAGAACTCAACAAGCCGAGTGTGAAACAATCACCACATTTCTGCCTGAGTGATCTGCAGGCCTCGATACCATAAATCCACAATAATGGGCTAGTGTAACACAGCCCACCAGAAATGACACTGCCTGGTTTGAGACCCCAGCTGTTTACAAGAGAGGGGAAGCAGATTCATACACAGTTCCAGTGGTTCTTAGAAGAATGTCCAAGTGACTGACACTGATGTTGTATTATCACCCAGTGATGCTAAGAAATGGTTGGTCCAAAGGCACTGATGAGCTTTACTATGTGAATTCTAAAGTGTGGATAAGAAATGTAGGATCAAGTAAGAACTGAGTAATAGTCGGTTGCTCAAAGTGAATGACTTATTGCCTTCAATGAAACAAAATTGAATGCCAGCAGGTGCAAGATGCTTTAGCCAAAATGTATAAAATGTCTGTTGTATTGAAGTATAACCCATTAAAATCCCAGGTTTATTATATCCTAAGGCAGTAACTATAGAGAAAACACTGCAATCTCCCTGAGTTATTCTTAAGTCACAGAGGTGACGAAAGGAAGCCTGGAACTACTGGCACCTACAGGCCATTAAAAAGAACAGTAACTAGTTGACTCCACACAGTATACTCACAACTACAGCTCTGATGATCAAACATGCAATGAAATGACATTGTTACATATAGCAGCTGATATTTCAATGTTACATGCTAAATCTGAGGACTGACAAAATTATCCAAGATTGCATGTTAGTGACTCATTAGAACATCTGACACACAACGGAACATTTCTGTGATCTGTTAGAGAGCTAATTTGCATACTGAGCAAATGGAGAAACCAATACTGCAATAACAATTAATAGATGATAAATTATGCAGAAGCCCTACCAACAAAACTGTTAAAGAAGAAGCACTGCTGACAGGTCTGATGTCCAGTCCCCTTATTGCATCCAGCATAAAATGTAGCCCAGTGTTGATTTCTGTGCAAATGTATTATCTGGACATAATTGACCACTAAACTGCAATCAGAACTCCCCTTGGCAAGGACAGAATTTTTCTTCAAAGTTAAATTGCTTTCTAGGAGATGACAACATGCAAATGACAGACCCCTGAAATGACTCAGACCCATCTTCTCTAATTTCCATTTTGCTAGAATACATTCAATGCACCATCAATGAGTCAACCATAGGGATGAATCACATAAGGAAAAACAGAGCCATCTCCACTCTAAGAGGTTTTTTTTTACCTTTTATCAAAAAGATTAAAGGCGATCATATTGCAACTCAGTACAGTACCCTCAGGAACCGCAATCCATATAAATGGAACACGGATGCATACCACTGTACTTCGCCTGGATTTATCTTAATTCAATTTAATGACAGAACACTTCACGTTGTTTTACAATAGCTACGCTTTCATTCTGTGTAAACTGCAAATGCTTGTTTCCAATAACCTGACCTTAAGTGATAAAAATGCTTCATGGAATGATTCCCGAAAAAAATTAAAAATTAAAAAATTATTTATTGCTAATTAAAAAAGTTGTGTTCAACATGTTTCCATCTCTAGTTTCATGTTGCAACTTGTGTACCTTTGGCCTCCCTGACTGATAAATAAGACTTTCTCTGCCTTCTTTCTCACATTTCTCTGCCATATTTATCTGCCATAGAGCCTTTTCTAGACACCTACATCGTCAAATCTTTTGAAGTGTTAAAACATTTACCATTCAAATCTTTGGGCTGGAATCATAGCTAATGAGATGTACAATCTAACTAACACATTCCATCATCAATAATATTGCTTTTAATAGATTCCTGAGCAAATGAAAGAGGCTAGCATGGAGCCATTGTGTCCTTTGCTATTCTGAACAAGGCAAGGTTGTTTGTCCTGATTTTAAATATCCTATAATGAGCATTGCTCTGGGCAACAGTTCCACTCAGCTGAACCAACACAGTGACGCAAGCATGAGGGCATTTTACAGTACCAGTAAAACAGCAGATGTGACTATCTAATGCGGCATAAATATGGACTAAACAGAAGACTAGATTAGATGAAGCCCTGATAGGGAATACTAGCTCTGTGTTTGTGTCTCACTGACCGTGATGGCAGGTGCAGCAAAGGCCAGGCTGAGGAGCATGAGGAAGGGAATGACCTCATGCGTGGGCTCAATGTATGGCAAACTCAGACTGCGGTCATGGCAAGCAAACCCCCAGCGCACTGGTTTGAAGATGTCTGTCCACTCTAGGAAGTAAAGGCTCACCACAGATGAGACCAGGATTGGAAGCTGGAATAAAACAGTGAAACAAACATAATAAGCAGGAATTACATCAACAAAACATCTCTTCTAAAATATAACAAGGGTAATTTGTTAGTTCCCAAGGATGCAAGTACCATGTCAGCCTCTATGCTGAAACAGGCAAACCAACAGAGAATTGGCTGCTCTTAAGGAAGCAAGATACACGCTCATTAGAAGAAACTCTAAAAGGATTTGCCTGTAACGCATTGGTTTATCTATGTAAGAATGCATCACCGTACTGACCTCTTATTGCTATACTCAAACATACAAATAATAGCTCCCATACACAGCTAAGCAATTATCTTTAAGTGCTCAGGGAGCATGTTCTTTTTGGAACTCATTCTTCACAGGACAATGCACTGTACAAATCCTATTATTATTATAACTAAGTAAAGTGAGAAACTCTCAATGTATTGTGAAAACCAATAGCAAAAAGGCATCAGAAAAGACAAAATAAAGGAGAACTGAAAGTGAATTAGGGTCCTAATATGTGGCAACTGATCAGAGCTAGAAAACCCACAATGGCAACCAACTGAGAAGATTGTATGGCTAAAATAAGATGACTAAGTAGAGGGCTTTTAAAACCACCTCATGCATAATGTACCCATATGCGCTACAACATGTGGTAAGAGAAGATTCAAGGATGTCGCCTGGCACTGTGAAGAGTCCTTGTGTAGCTTAACACACTGAAGTGTCCTGTCTAAGTGGCACTATGGCGTGTGGTCTGAATTTGGCCACTGGCATCTTCACACAAAATCATTTCATACTCAAGCTTAAATGGGCAGCCTTGAAAAGAGAAAGTGCTGAAACCCCCACTGTTAGCGGAACAGAAGGACGTCTCTTGATGTCAGAGCAATGAAGTGACTCCTGCTGAGCTGAGGAGGGTTTACAGATCCAGCGCCGAATTCAAACACACTCCCAGACACACTATACCACCAGGAATCATACAAATGTTAGAATAAAAAAGTAAAAAACAAAAGAGCATGCTATTAAGTGTGGTTGTGTATTTCATTAGTCAAAAAAGTACAGCTGTCAATTCCAACTGTGTTAAGAATTCATGTTATGCCATTAATAAGGGCTTAAAACTCCATTAGGGACAGTGGACAGAGGACAGTGACTGAAGTCTGGGGTATCTGTGGAATGGTAATAGTAGAGATGTGCAATAATCATTTTGGTATCAGTAGACAATTGCTTAAAAATGATTGACAGCACATTTTATATTTCTCCAAGCATCTATAATACCAATTTCTATATTTTATTAACCTTTTTTGTTTAAGCAGACACAGTCCTTTGCAAAGGTCAAAGACCACACTTCATTTATTTAATTTCTTGTCAATACAGGAATAACATAAGGAAGAAGAAAGGAAAATAAGATAAAAAAAACAGTTTCCAAAACTGGAGTTCAAACATTATTAAAGGATATAGAAAAAATGGGACTTCATTTAAGCTCCACTCAGATCGGAAAACTTCCACTGGTGTTTCTGTCCTTCTTTTCACTGTGAGAAGACAACACCTTGACGACGAGTCTGAAATGATGTGTAGCTGTCAAGAAGCTGATAATGAGAAAAGGGATTAGACAAAAAGAAAGAATGTCGCAAAACAAACACCGAACCTGTTGGTATTGTCAGAACAATGGACTGGCCACCCCAGAGTCCAGACCACAACATCACTGAATGTGTTTGGGATTACTTTGATCCGTATAAGCAGAGAATGCAACCAACTTCTAAGACTGAACTTTGGAGGTATGGAAAAATATCCCTGCAGATTTTCTTGAAAAACTGAAAGCAAGTCTCCCAAAAAGAATGGAAGCTATAATAAAGACAAAGAATGGACAAACTAAATACTGAAAAAGTTGATTTTATATTTAGTTTGCTGAGACTTCTGTATTATTATCTGTTAAGTATAGGTTTTCTGCTTTTTTCATGCTGAAAAATGAATAACTTGTACTTAATAGCTGTTTTAACTGGAAATAAATGATAAGTGGTCTCTCACTTTTCCACAGTACTGCATGTACATAAAAAATATCTGCTCTCAGCACCAGTCCACAATTCCCATATGTGCATCCACAATTAAGCTGAATGCTTAGTGAGCACTGAAAACATAAACCCAAAAGGTAAAGAGGTCACAGGTGGGTTATCACTGGGTAGAAGATGTACTGCTATGTTGTTCACATAGTTCATGTCTCTCTTACTCCCCCTTTCTGTACACATACACATGTTGAGGAGGAAATATAGGTCAGTGGAACCACCTTGACTACAGTAAAACTTAGCTGAATCAGCAAACAGAGGCAGCTGCTGGCTGTAGCATTGTGCATATCAAGTAGTAGTGAGCTGCAAGGCCTCTTTCAACTGCATAATGTACCCTCCAAGCCATGCTCCATTAGCTGATTAAGGCAGAAAGACAGTCACAATAATTACAGTACAGCACAACAAGCCATATAATACTATGGCATAAGCCGTAGCATCTTCAGTGCTCCTGGAAATAAATCAAACAAAACCATGAAGTAGTTCAATGACAGTGCCGTTCTTAATGTCAAACTATTTGGCACACTCAAAGGGAGGCAAGCACTCTTAGGGTTAAGCATGGATGCAATTTCAGCGACACAAAGTCCAATCTAGAGAGGCAGATTAAAAATTGCTCTCATGCTTGGAAATGGCCTCCTAAGCTTATTCAAGTGTAGCGCACATCAAATGAGCAACAGAAAGAATTGGAAATGGAAGGTGATACTGAAGTTTAAATAATGAATGCATACAAATGGAGGCCAGATTATTTTTGTTTGGATATATTTAGAAGCTCAAAGCACTGGTGATACCTCAGCAAGCGCTGCTGACAATGAATGCCTTCTAACTAACTTATGGCAGAGTTATACACAAAAATTCAGCTTGTTATTGCTTAGCATCTTGTGGAGGTGACAGTGAGAGATGTAAGTGGTCACATGAGAAGGGGGTTCCACCACAAGCACAGGGTTTAGTTAGCACTAAACCCTTCTGGTGAGACCACATTTTTTGATGAGTGCATAATATAGCAACCTGACATTTCTTCTTAGCCAATGACAAAAGAACTGAAAAATACCATCAAAAAAATCGACGAAATTCACGTGCATTTACATGAGAGTGCTGGCACAGGCCACTGCCTTTAATGTGTTTAATATTCCTTATGCCTCTATTCTGTATGTTCCACCGCACCATATATGCTCTATTTCCTTATTAGGTCAGATGGATGAGCGCTGGCTAATACACCCAAGAGGAACAAGTGTTACTACAGTGATAGTAAGCCTACCCATCTTATTATAGCGCAGACACTGCTATGTATCAGAGCATGACATCATACTGTGTCTCAGTGACCACATCTATGCCTTAACGCCAAAGTGCACCTTCCTTCTAGTTAAGATATGCTGCTATGCAATAAATAAAAGGGTGATTTTTTTAAAAGTCTGACAACAAAGCCTCAGGACACAGTGACCAAGTGAGGCAAACATGAGGCGGCTGGGGTGCAGGATAAAGACTCTGACCCACTTTAATTAAAAACGAGAGACCTCATTACTTTTTTATCCATCTTATCCTGGGCCCTTCAGGCACCACTGCATTTGACGCCAAAGTTGACTTATTTGAATCAGCCTGTTCTCACAGAAACGCTCATGAAAAAAAATAACGATACGGCATGCTTGTTCACGAGTAACTTTTGCTCCCAAACTGTCTCACCGGCTGTAATGCAAGGTGAATATTGATGTATGTGACTCATTTTGCTTTCAGTTCTTTCAAAGCACCCAACTCTGTGGGGAACCAAGCTGCACAGTCTAAAGCTGCCAAAAAGAAAACCATCTCATTTCAGAGCAAAACAGAAACGGGATCATTGCAGATTGCTTTACAGCAGGCTTTGAAGGTAAATATTTACAAAAGCCAAAAAACAAACAAACAAAAAAAAACGTATGTTAAAAAACGTAACAGCTGAAAGCATGACCCATCAGTAACAATGTACACCTATAGATTAGATCGAGTTTACTCAGCCAGTCTGAGTCTAATGACACTGTATTGTAATAGGAAAGGCAGATTATCATAATAACCAAAGAAGCCATTCACTGTAGTCTTCCTCAGTGAAAAGCCACTCATAACACAAGCCCAACGGGAACCCACCTCAACAAAATAGAAGCACGGCAGCAAAGTAACGCTGTCCTTAGTCATCCTTTCCTTCAGTCTTTCTCTCGCAGACATGGCTCTTGCTTTCCTTCACCCCAGTCCGAGAAGAACCCCGGCTAACTTGTTGTAGCCTTTTAATGCACCGCGACCGCCTTCACCACACGACTCGAGGTGACTGAAACAGCTGCCGTTCGCTCCATAAGGATGGAGGGACCTAAACGACAGCGACCACTAGAAGGTCTCCACCTTTTACGAGGCGTATGGGCATCCCCGAGCAGCGATTACAGTCTCATTTGCACAAAACAGCCGCCAAAATGCCGGCGGAGGAAAACTGATTTATGGGGTATAGAGCGGCTCCCGCGTGCTGATGCGCAAGCGCACATCAACTACGGCGCGTCTGATCTACCATTATCAATAACACCGTAACATTTAAATAGCACACACACACACACACACACACACACACACATGTATATATATATATATATATATATATATATATATATATATATAGTGTACTGTCCTATAGTAACAGTAGCTAATTTTCTAAATTTACTAAGATTCTTGGGAATCCGGTAGAAATTACTGTAGCCTGGATCTTTTAGTTGTTTAGGTAGTAAATGTGTGAGCACTTTCACATTATTAATAATTCTGTAATATTTAAATGGCAATTAGAGTTGTGTGAACGGTAAAAGTGTGAGCACTTTCAGACCAAGGGAACAATTTCTTGCCCAAAGTCTTGTCCAGTCATATGGAAATGGAGGCTGCCCAAATTCTGTTCCTAACCAATATATATCATTGTATGTCATTAACTTACAGAAAGTTGGTTTAAGGTCAAGACTGAATGAGAATTTTCATGCACCATTACGCATGCATTCATATTGCAACCCTAGTCCAGATTTCTCATAGATGCCATCACAATATTCTGCCAAAAGGATTCATTGTGGGTTTGGAATTCTAAATTATAGTTGCCTCCACTAAAATCTAAGAAACACTTTCACCAAATGGTTTCTTAATAGCACACATCCTGAGTTTTTTTTTTTTAATCTAAAGAGACACTCAAACGTAGATCAAATATTTCAAGATTGCTTCTCTTCCTGCCAGACCAAAGTTGTAATATTCAGAATAGTTTGATGTATCTGCTGTTATACTGTGCTCTAGTATTGAATACGGCAAGTAGGTATGATATAATAATTTCCACTTTGGGGCAAATTTAACTGAATCCTTTAGTGTCAGTGTTAGTGTTATGCTTTTTTTTAATAGAGTTGCATAATATGGATAGAATACAATAATGAGATTGCATTGCTAACATTATAGCTGTGATACAGCTCAGTGAACACAGTGGTGAATAATTGTGATGTGACATATGGTGAAAGAGGCAACCGTGCATATAGATGTCAGACTGTCAGACCATATAAATGCCTTGACTGTTTAGTCATCCTGAAGAACATCTGAAATTGGTTAGATAGCTCAACACTCAATATTCCTGTGATTTATTAGGGCATTCAGAGAATAGTAATATGATAATGACTAACAACCTTCAGTCCCAAGAGGCTAAATCGCTTCAGAATGGGTCTAGCAGGGGAAAAGGTAAAATCCTTCACGTAGGTTTAGAAATGATTCTCAAACTTGTTATGTTATAGAATTAAAACTTGGGGATTTGTCCTTTCAGTGGTAGCTGGACTGAAACAATCATTTTTACATCCTTTATGAAGGGTAAGGTCGGTGCCCTAGCCCACACCTGAAACTCTAGGTGATTACATAAAGACTGACTGGCTCCTAAATCCGCTCTGTTTACGGGTTGGGTTTCTTCTTGACACCGCAAGAACGTGGAAAACTCGACAGATGTGGTATAGGTGTCCTGTAAACAGATATATCACGGAGAAACAGTATGGGGACTGAAAAAGGATGCGTTATCTTTTTTCCACCCGTATTCCGACACACACCCGCCCCCTCCGCGGGTATTGGCTTGGAGGTAAATCATGTAAATTACTAGCCAATTCAAACCTAAAAGTGTGAAATTCTACTCAGTACAAAGCCGCAAGTACTAAAACTACAGCACCTTATCCAAACTACCGGTAGTGTATAAGCTACTGGTCAATTCAGACGAAGGAGGCGCTGAGGAAAATAAACAACCCTAGCTGCTGCCCTGTTGACATGGCCGTAGAAAGGCTGCTCGTGCGTAGGAACTATTAGCCAATCGCAGCACAGGAGGCGGGACCTGTCGGAATGCGGGTGGGAATAAACGCGCGAAAAAGAGCATTTGCTCTCGCGTGCAGGGGTGACTGAAGGTGGCGCATGCGCAGTAGTGGTCGAGCAGTGTGCCGTGGAGTGAATTAGTAACGTTGTTTGCTTGAAAGTCTCAACAAATGTTTGTCGCCAGAGATGACGCTGCTGCTTAAAATGTGTCATTGGTTCTAAAGTAAATCCGGAGACTGTGAATAGTTAGCGTGAGGAGGAAGACAGATAGAGAGAAATACGTAGTTCACTTGTCTTATCTCCCTCCTCCAGGTACCCCTGATGCTGTTGCAGCGCTAAAACTCGAGCTAGCTAAGGTAGGACTCTCTCATATGCCTCGCCACATAACTCACATAACCTCGGGCTGTTATTTTTCTAGCATTCGGTCTCACTCCATGTGGCTCCACTGAGGAGAGAATTACAGCATTGCACCACAGGCTTCGGGCACTCTTGCCCCGTCCGGCTGTTTACTGGACAGCTAGTCACTAAGACTTATCATAACATTTGAAAAAGCTGGAGAGAAACACTACAAAAGGAAAGTTAATTGTGAAGAAACTGACATGTGCAGCATTAGTACAGAAGTCTTGCTTATTACTTAAATGATCATTTGTTTACGTTTGAATGCCTTAAATAGCAATAGGTATATTTCAGTTTCTCGGAGGAAGGCTCATAGGACATATAAAACGTTTCCACAGATTCAGTGAATGCTGCAGGTAAAGTACAAGATAACCATAAAACATGCAACAAAATGCCTTTTGTAGTTCACAGAGTATCACAAACAAAGGGCTGCTCAGAGTAACGTGGATTAGTGGGTTTGAGATAGAAAGCATGTTGATGTGATGAAACCACCAGGGTAACACGCAGCTTCTTGTAGGTTGATACACTGAAACAGCATAGTTTAGATGACATAATTCTGTTCTTGATATTGATTGCTGCTGCAAGTGAATTACATATGGAAAACATAGTTGGCCTCCTCACCTAAGGACTATTGATATTGGGTAGTAGGCCTGGGAACTTTGTGGTGTTAGAAAATGAAAATATGGCCAATTAAGACTCAGATCGTCCCATACGGAAAATCTTATTTCACTGTTTTAATACTGTGTGTTTAATACTGTGTCATGTGCATTCAGATGTTAAAATACTTTGACCATTGAAGTTTGTGAAACATTTAAAACCTTTTGAAATTTTTTGATTGTACCTCACTCTGACATCAAAGAAGTGTAAGAAATGCAAAAACTGCCTTTTTAAGATTTCGTGAAAATGGTTACTTTATGTTTAATGTCAGTAGTTAAAGAACTGTATTCTTATCTGTCGGAGGTTAGCCTGTTATCTAGCCAGATAGCCTGCTGTAACCCAATCTAGCAGAGGGATCTTGTGTTTTGGTGTAACGGTGTCTTCAAGTCAGACAGTATTCTACGATCTTTAGTTTTCTCTTATATAAAAGAGCTGTGGAACCCTGCTGATGTGCTCATGTTCACATGCCAAGTCCTTTTAAATGACCTGAATGAATGTTGAATTCCTGTTTCAGCCACCCTGGCATGCATTATGACATTTTTGTTTCACTTTATTTTTAAGGCATTAAATGATTCCGACCCCAAAGTGTAGGCAAAAAAGACAAGGGGGATGTGTTAAAGGATGGAATTAAAATATAAACCTACAGTTGTTCAGTTAAGAGCTCATTAATGTTTCTATAAAAGTTGCTAAAGTTAATGTCCACAGATCATTGTGAGATGATAAGGAGTATATCACTTGGATTATTCTTTTTCACAGTCAATAATAATAATAATAATAATAATCGTTTTATATGTGCTTGATCCACATATAAAAATGTTACAGTAAAATTTTAAAGAATAAAAACCTTCTAGAACAAAATAAAGTAGCATTGCATAGAAGAATATGCGGAAAACATTGCAGATATAGGTAAGTACTGTTTTATTTTGAGCAGGCATTTTTTCGTCAGTGAGAAATGCCCAGCCCAGCGCCCCACACCCCCACCCCCCAACACAAACACGGGGAGGGGGTCGTTGTCACACGACAATACTAGACAAACTACTAGTTTACTGCAAAGCCCGTTCTCCTCTGACACAGGTTACTTTAAGCAACACATCTTCAGTAATAACAGCAACAGTGGCGGACACCACACAGCCACCACCCCCCCCCCACCACACAGCCCAAACTAAGCTGCATGGAGTCCCGGCCTGTCCACCATCCCGGCCAGCACAAGTGCCACAGGGTGCCCCCACCTAGGCAGCGGGCACCCACAGTCCTGTTTCAGGGCCGTTTCGTCAACACCGCTAGGTCATCATGTTGTTCGAGTGGCGGATCTACAAGCACCTATAGTGCTTTCCCCTGACACAGCTGCATTACGGTGGTGGCTGCTGTCCTGCCGTAAAGCCAGGCGACCACTTACATCTGCGCAGAGTACGGCTCCCTGGTGTCTTTCGCAGTTGAAAAGTGGCAAGTATCCCTTGCTGTATTCCTTTTGCTGGAATTCCACTGGGCTCTGCTGCTTAGTCTCAGTTCACTTTTTCCTTCGTCATCTTCCTTAGTCAACCAGTCTCACTCCTGGCTGGCTGGACCTGTTAGGATCGGTTCGCCTTTGAATTTGTTAACGCATTGCTTGACTTCTTCCAGCTCGTCTGACATATACTGCTCAAGAAATGCACTTGCCCAGCGCTCCCCCGACACAAAACATGGGGAGGTGTCAAGCAGGAGGACACAACAATTGAGGGAAGACATTTATAACAACTTGTTACCCTGTATGTTCATTTTTATGTACTTTGCTGCTACAAAACATGAGTGCCTTCACAGAGCACTGGTTTAGGATCAGTACTCAATATTGACCTATACCATGAGTTTAGATATCGATGTTGGATTACTGCATTTCTAATAAATATTAATACATATTAGTATATTTTTGTATTATAATCCCATTTCCAAAAAAGTTGGTATGTTGTGCAAAGTGTAAATAAAAAAGAGAAGGCAATGATACGCAAATCATATAAACCTTATATTTATCTGAAAATAATACATAGACAACATATTAAACATTGAAACTGAGAAATTGCATTATGCCCATATGCCAATTTTGAATTTGATGCCAGCAACACGTTCCAAAAAATGTTGGGACAGGGGCATGTTTACCACTGTGTTGCATCACCTCTTCTTTTAAGAACACTCCTGTAAGTGTTTGGGAACTGAGGAAAGCAGTTGCTGTAGTTTTGAAAGTGAAATGTTTTCCCATTCTTGTTTGATGTATAAATTCAGCTGCTCAACAGTTTGGGGTCTCCTTTACCGTATGATTCATTTTATAATGCGCCAGATGTTTTCAGTGGGTGACAGGTCTGGATTGCAGACAGGCCAGTTTAGCACCTGGACTCTTTTACTATGGAGCCATTTTGCTGTAATATGTGCAGAATGTGGTTTTGCGTTATCTTGCTGAAGTAAGCAAGGACTTCCATGAAAAAGACGTCGTCTGGATGGCAGCATATGGTGCTGAAACCTGTGTACTTTGTTAAAAGTGCCTTCTTGTCATGTGCACTAATGCACCTCCATACCGTCACGGATGCTGGCTTTTGAACTGTGCGCTGATAAAAATCCGGGTGGTCTTTAGCCTGGAGGATGCAGTGTCCATGATTTTCGAAAAGAATTTCAGATTTTTACAGGACACTTTTCCACTTCACCTCAGTCCATCTTAAATGAGCATCTCATGCAGAATGCAGTTTTTGAAAAGCATTCAATGGATCATAATGACATTCATATAATTTCAAACTGAAATCTGCTTAGGGGTGGGCTAAATACAGCTTTATGCACAGCTCCCAGCCTGTGGAGGAGTCAAGTCAAGTCAAGTCAAATTTATTTGTATAGCGCTTTTTACAACTGATGTTGTCACAAAGCAGCTTCACAGAAATCCATTAAGGACAAAGTTTTAACATGAAATGTAAATCCTCCAGGTGAGCAAGCCAGTGGTGACAGTGGCAAGGAAAAACTCCCTCAGAGCTGGGGAAGAAACCTTGGGAGGAACCAAGGCTCACAAGGGGGGACCCATCCTCCTCTGGTCAAACTACCTACAAAATTATTATACTACTAATATTAATAGTAGTAGTAGTAGTAGTAGTAATAGTTAGGAGTCCACTTCAGTGTAGGGTGGGCAGCTAGTCCAAGGCAGGTGGCGGTGACTGGGGCGTGGGCAACTGGTCTGAAGCGGGTAGCAGGAGAGCTCGACAAACAATCATCCATCAGTTTCCGGCCGGACAGGTGGGCAGTCGTTTACTCGGGAAAAAAAGTAGGGAGATGGAGTTAGTTTTGTTCTGTATGGGTGTATGTATAATCCTGCATTGAGAGGTTCTTGAGACTCCAGAGACACCAGCAGCTTCAAATACCTGTTTGCTGCTCAACAGTGGTGTTTTTATTGCTGCCCATTTAATACAGGCGTTTACAGACAATGGTTTTCCGAAGTATTTCTGACCCAATTTCTACTACAGAATTGTGACTGTTTTTAATGCAGTGCCGCCTGAAGATCATGGCCAGCCAATATTGGCTTTCAGCCTCGTCCCTTATGAATATAGATTTCTCTGGATTTTCTGAGTCTTTTAATATTATCTGCTGTTGAAATCCGCAAGTTTTTTTTCTATTTTGCATTGAGAAACACTATTCTTGAATCTGCTCTTGCAGTCTTTTGACAGAGTACCCAATCATGTGACTGACCTGTTGCCATCTAACCACCAGGTGTTTTTAGCATTATACAACTTCACCTGTCTTTTGTTGCCCTGTCCCAACTTTTTTGAAAGGTGTTGTTGCCATCAAATTCAGTGGGTAGGTCATTTTCAAAAAACAATGCGAAATCTCAGTTTCAACATTTGTCTTCATATCTGTTGTCTTTGTACTATTTTCAATGAAATATAGCATTTAAATGATTTGCACATGATTGCATTTTGTTTTTATTTACATTTTTCACAGCGTCCCATCTTTTTTGGAAGCAGGGTTGTATTACAATGATGTCATAATAATATTTTACTTACCTAATTTCAAAATACTTTTCCTAGAAAGAAAGGCAAAACATTGGGAAGAGAAAACCGTGTGGTTTAAATGACGTACTACTACATACACTACAGTTATAAATGATAGAAAAACAAAGAGGCCCATTGTACTAGGTATGTACTAGCCTGAACAAATGCGTTTTTATTCTGTATTTACAAACACTCCCTGAATTTGCAAACCACACAGTTCCATATACAAAAAGGATCTTCCACCAACTGAGTTGCATGCTGTCCTAAGGATTAGCATTAAGCCATTCAGTATGCCTCACCTGAGTGAAGTAGACTAGATGGTCTGTAATACTTCAAGAAATCAGCAAAATATGCTGGCGCTAGGCCAATAAGGCCTTTAAATGTTGTGAGAAGCACCTTGTAGTCAATGCACAGATTAAAGGGAAGCCGATGTAAATCAGGGTATTATGTTCCTACTTTTTTTTCCTGGTAGGCTGCCACACTCTATACTAACTGGAGTGTAGTTAAACAATCAGTAACGTTGCAGTGGACATATTAGAAATTATGAAAGCTGACAAATTTCTGAGTATGGTGTAGCGTTAGCATATGTGTTATTTTGTTTCTAAAGTGATAGGATTCCACTATGGGATGTAAATGAAAAAAACCTGCATTCAGAGTTGAAATAAGTCTTTGTTAGTCTTTGATTGCAATGAAAAAACACTTAGATGAAGAATAAATCCACCACCTTATTGAGCAGACCTCGTGAGCACTTGTTTTGTAGGTTTTCAAAGGAACATGAAGTTCCAAAGCTGCTCAGTAGTCAGTGCCTGAACTACAGGGACATCAGTTGCAAATACTTTATTTAAAGGTACCAGTCTCAGAAATCATGACAGCAAAAGCCAAGCGCAGGCAAGCTGCTTTAGCAGAAGAAAAAGTGGTTGCAAGTCAAGGCTTCCCAACAGAGATAAATGGACACATAAGAAGATAGTTGCTAAACTGCAAAAACAACAGCCTAAAAAAATACATCAGAACTGAAGCAGCACCTCAGTGCTGTCTCAACAGAAGCTGGATGTTGTGAGCTTCACAAAGCACATTTTGAGCAGACTTAGTGCCTAGCAGCAATTATTCTGTGTTATCAAAAGGATGAAGATGAACATTTGAAGATGATCTTAAAGCTCTGGTGCACCGAGAAAACTCTCCTTCATTTAATTGTACTGCTCCTGATGTTGCTGATGACAGTGTGGTTATCAAGGTTATTGTGTGGTGAGAAACCTTTGGTGAGGAAAAAGAAAAAATATGTTATCAAAAACTTGTTTTTCATCACTTATAATTGACATGTTGGGTGTCAAAATAAAGGTAAGAAAACTCCTAGAAATTTCAGAGAGAAAAAATATGCAAAAATCACTCTGAAGTGAAAGTCTGAGTGCTTTGCCATGTTCTTACTCAGCTGAAAGTGGAGCCTGAATATACTTGCAGGTAAAAGACTTTCTACATTTAAACTTGTTCATGGACCTAATAGTAAAGAGTAAATGTTTTAACAAATAGGATTAAAGTTTTCTTTGTTTAGTAGTGTGTAATGTGGTGGTGTGTGGTGTAGTGACTAATCAGGGGTACTGGTCCTTTTACAAAGACAAATTAGCATAGTTGTGGGCATTAACGTTTTACAATGATATAATTTGGTTCAATAAAAGCAATATATTGAAATGTATGGGAACACACCTGATAGGAAAGAATAAATTTGGCTTTTGAGATTTGTAAAGGTCTAAATGAAAATGTAGGGAGCAAAAATATGCTTTTTCTTTGTAAAAGTGCTTATTTTCAATAATACCCATGGAAAGTACAAATGTTCCAAAATAATAATAATAATATAAATAATAAAATAATACATAATAATAATGATAAAATAATACGTAAATAAAGTAACAAAGTACAGTTACTCAGGCATTTTCAGCCCCTGAGAAATGCACATGAAAATGCAGTATAAGCTGTTGAATACCTTCACAACATGTTTGAGTTTCTTGGAAAGGAGGCCATGTGGTAGACTTATGTTGCACAAATACATATTTCACATTAAAAAAAAACGCAATTTTCCAAGTTAGTGTGTGGTATTAAATATTACAAGCAAAACACAGTTTGCAAGGGGGATGGCAATGTAGCAAAATTTAGAAGGGTGACAGCAATGTAGAAAATCAGAACAGTCAAAGTGTGGTAACAGGCGCCATCTAGTGGTTGATGTTTGTAAACTTCTCAGTAAAAAAATAATGATTTTCTTTTTTTCAGGTGTCTAAGAAAAGATGCCACCTGAACGACATCGCCGTGAATTCTACACTTATTTTGGTGTGGAGGTAAGACACAGCAGCACAAGATTACCCTGGTAGCTGTTTGCTTTATTGTAGAAAATCACTGTCATTACTCAGTCATAACCTTGACAAGGACAGTAAACACAGACGTATTTAATTGCAAGACCTCCTTTGAAACATTTTTTGTAAATGAAATACATTTTGATCTTAAACTGTTCCATTCACAGGAGAAATACATTTCCTGTATTACAGAAAAACGGGAATTTGTGAAGATATCGCAGTAGATTAAACAGACTATGGCAGAAGTTATTGAAGACAGGATTTTCACCTGAAAGATGAGAGGGATGTTTAATCAGTGGGTCATTATCACAAAGAGCACTGCAATAATGTCATAATTGGCCTCATTTGAGCTAGGAGGCTCATCACCCTGGAATAAGTGTGAAATGATCTTCCTCCACTCCTTCCATTTGCAGAGAAAATTTAGCTCTACACATTAAAGAAGGTTAGAGTTTGCTTTATATCAAAATATTAAGAGCAATGAATTTGATTTGAGACTTGATATGTGTTATAATCTGTGGGTATAAGGGGTGGGTATTAGGGGGTATGAATTTTTATTGCATTGTCACATTTGGGTGCGTTTGTTCCAAATCTAATAACAAAGCATTGTGGACTGTCAAGCTGCTTTTGTGCTCGTGTGTTCAAAATACAAAGCCCCAGCATCTTTAAATATTGCTATATATTGGGTGGCTTATAGCCAGACTATTCAAAATGGAACCTGTATGAAGAACTTCTGTCTAGTCTGCCATATGATGTTTGCTTTGACAGTGATTTGACATTTTATATTATTTCACATAGTAGGAAACACAAAAATATACATGATTCTTCTTCACTCATACTAAAATTGCGCATATTTGCCAACATGTTTAGGGAACTGTTGCTGGTACTGAAGCATTATAACTGCTCTAAATGAAAACTGTAAATGCTATAAATGGATAGAGGTCTAACTTGAAATGCACATGAGGGTAGATGAAATAATGAAAACACTGCATGAAAAAAATCTCAACAAAACCTATACATCTATGGCAGGGCTTATATCCAAAGGCAGTGCCCAAGTCCACATAAACTGGTGTAAGGAGCACAAAACCCGAGCACTGGAAAAAAGTAAATTAATTTGATGAGTTTTCTTTTACCCCTTTCCTATGTCTCGCTACACTCTTTAGTACTAACACAGCATTCCTAGAAGAAGTAGTTCTGAAAGCAAACACTGACCATATTATTTATTAAGAAACTGCTATTTATATTTTGTAAGGCATGTCCATTTATTTTGTCCACCTTCAATTAAGTGAAATTTCTCTTTTAATCAGCATGACTTGTTAGTGTCACTTGGCAAAGTATTGGAAAAAAGCTCCAAACTGGCTTCATGATCACTCAGGTCTTGTCTCTCTAGACTCTCTTCATTTCTGTGGAGCAATGACGTTTCTTTCTAGATTAGTACGCAAGTATGTGTTATGCTGTTTGAGTTAAGGACATATTTGGTACATCCATTCTTGATGATAATAATAATAATAATAATAATAATAATTAAGTATAAATAAGTAAATAAATAAGTAAACAACAAAGTAATAATAAAAATATTAAAACACTGTTAAACACTGTTTAAGACGTTTATCATTCATATCATTCATATCATTCACTCCCAATTCCATGTGGTCCATATATCAAAATCGAGTAGCAAAAAAGGCCAGTTTTGAATTTACTGTGTTTGTCATATCACAAAAACTGACACATTTACATTTATGCACTTTTTTTAGCCTACTGCACTTTAGCCCTGGCCATTCAATTTGAAGTTACAAGGTAAATTTCAACCTGTTCTGGTTTCTGAACGAGGCACAATGCAGGGCAGCCAGTGCTCAGAACAGTGATCATTTACATATATCAGTCTTGAAGACACAACAACAGCTGGTTTAATTCTATGGGATAACGGGAAGTTGGAAGGTTGTTGTGTAAAAATGAATTACCACATAAATGTCATATGGGCCTGCATGAAAGAAAATACATGCAAAATGTAAAACGTGGGCATTTTAATATCATGTATCATACAGTGATACTATTCTGTAGATCATATAAACATTTTATTTCTGTGTATAGATGATACCACCTTACAGACCTGCACTGACTGAATAAATTCTGCTCTGGTGTTTGTGTGGAGAGGGTTGTGGTAGAGAGAAGCCCACGCAGTGGTGCAGTGCAGCTAGACTCAGGCTCAGTGAGTGGGCTGTCAGTGTCTGCAGAGGCCTAAATCAAGGACATGTCTTCCCAAGCTTACTCTATCATTCAAGCCTCTAAATTCAGCCTTAATGTTTAGGAACTACAGTACCGTCCTGGAATAGCTGGAATCTATTAAATTGTCTGCGTGGGCAGACAACAGAAATGTAAGCGTTGTTCTAGTTGTGCTTGACCTAGTTTTTAAAATGGATTCCATCAGTGTAAGGTATAGTAAGAGACTGAATGCTCCAATATAGTAGCCAAAAAGGTAAAAAGTCTCATTTCCTATGAGATCTATTTAGAAGAATTGATAAACGTTCCACATTTGGCAAAAATATGAACCGAAAAGCAATTTATGCTATCAATGAAATAGTTATATTTTGTGCAGCACGCTTCTTCTGCTGAATCATTACATGACCAGCTTTATAAGGTGTGTTCGCCATGGACCCCCCACCCCCTCCAGACACCAAAGATAGAGCTTTAAATCACTGTAGGGAAGACGCCTGGGCAAGACAGCCAAAGTCGGCCTTCTTTCATCATACACCGTATGCATCTCCATCGATTTAAGGGCTCCCCTGCTGCATGCAACATATTCACTCCATCTGTCAGCGGCACCTGTGAGCCATGGCCAGTCTCAGTGCTTTCGATCACTCTGCTCTCACTGCTCTCCTAATACTCCAAAGAGGAGAGGATTCACTGTATGAGCCATGAACTGATTTCTTATCATGCACCATTCTCTTCTCTGTGACTGGCACACATATACTACTTACATATTCCTTTCTTTCTCTCTCCTCCTTGCTTCCATATCTTTCCATAGCTGTCCTACAGAGGAAGGCTTTTTTTTAGGTTCATACATTTTCTTGGTAAATTGGGCTGTATTTCGGCATATGTCACAGGCCTCATGTGGTCTAGACTTGGAGAGACAGAGCCAGAGGCAGGGTCAATCATACTCCCCCACCCCTGGAGCAGATAGAGGTTAAATTCTGTGCTCAAAGGCACTTTTGGAAGTAGATGACTACTATTGTTGATGGCTACTAGGCTGAATCTGTGGCTACTTGCCTGCTGAAATTGCTGAGATTCATATCTCTGACTTTTCAGTTTTTTTGCCTGATGTTATTTGCTTTCACAATCAACCTAAATTCATTGCTGTATGTGATGAAAAAATGGTTGACAATGTTAGTAAATTCTGACATTGTACTGTACTGTCAGATTTTAGATATTATTGGTCTAAATTACTAATAATTATTGTTTTAGTGTTATTGCATTTATTTAAGATGTACTGTAACAAACAGGAAACATGTACAGAGTACTTCTGTTTGGACAAATCCAAAAATCTGTGTCATCACAAGCAGCAAAGGCAAAGACGAAAGGTAGGCGGAGTTAACATACCTATCCAGAAAACTGGCAAAAATAAACAAGGTAAACATACTACACACAAGAGAAATGCAAGCAATGTGCACAAAACTTTACAAACATCTGTGACAAATGGAACATGTAAATATACGAATCCTAATCAATCCAAAACAGGAGACAGTTTCTGAATCAGAATCAGGTACAGATCTGGTGATACAGTGTGGGGGCTGTACGCTGGAGCAGAAGCAGGACTGGAAGAGCTAATACATGAGCAAGTGGAGGACTCTATGACAAAGACATTCATAGGTATATATTATATTAGGAAAATTTGTATACGTAGAACAAATGTTTGATACTAGCATGTGTCTTTAATTGGTAGTGTAAAAATTAGGACAAAAAGGTTTATCATGGAAGCTGTTTTATTCTTCTGAGAGAACCTAATCACTATATTGAATAATAATGATTAGGGAATGCACAGATGGGAACTGTGGTTCGATGTCAATATCTGCTGTTTTTCATGTACATCTCTGCAGGGATGGATTACTGACCAGGGCCAGTGGGACCAGTTCCCAGGGACCTCCAGAGAACACAAAGACTCAAAAAGACTAGGGACAGTTAGCAGGAAATTTTTGCAGATCCTTATATGTCATGACTAAATTAATGCAATCTGTACATTTCTAATATACCTAAAATAATTCAAAGTCTGCATAACACCAAAAATGCTCATAAATATAACTGCAGAAAATAAGGAGCTACTTTACATTATTTGAGAATTAATCATTTTGCGTCAGTTTTTTTTTTTGTTCCATTTTTTTTTCCACCACTATTCAAAGTGCACATAGACAAATGTGAGCAGTTTATTAAAGGGCCCATATCGAACATTTTTCTTATGATTAATATTTTTACTAGAGGTCCACTTGACGTTGGTAAACTTTAACAGTGTAACACACTACATCAGTCTCAAGGGAAATCAAGTTTCCCATGAAATGGGACCTTTAAAGTTATTTTGCAGGTCTTTGTGAAAGTTTGGGGGTAGGAGTGCCTCCAAAGACACTTGTGCCCAGGGGCTTCATGAGCCCATGATCCATCCTTGCTGATGCTGATACCAATGTTGATACGTAACATTTATAAAATGGAGAAATTGGGACTATAGTATAAGCATTATAGATAAATATAATATTTGTTTGTATGTAGTTAAAGGAATAAAATGTGGATCTTTTTGTGCAGTAGCCCAGTGTCACCTAAGCATGCTGCTCTTCTTGAGTAACTAGATGGCCTAAGTAGCTATGTGTGCACAAAGTATATTAATTAGTTAAAAAGTTCATGCTATGTCAGTTTTAAGCGTCTGTTACTGTAAGTGGGGCAGAAGACTGTTAGAGGCGTCCCTTGTCTGCAGCAGTGCGGTTATCTCTGTCTAAAGGGAGCAG